ATTTCTGATATTGATTAATTGAAATCGTCACCTTCAGACAGATAATTATCGGGCAGTTAACTACTAATTTGCAGTCTCTAACAAAAATGGGAGTGGACCGAACAAGTATGTTTAGCGCGTGCTGGTGATGGGCGATACATTGCGAACTGTTAAAGCTGTTTGTCGTTTTCATGGAGACCCTACTTCTTATCTGCAATGCCTTGCTGATTCATTCCGCTGCTCCTCTGTCTAACCACACTATGTTTGCTGGGCATAAGGATTTGCTGCTTTTGACCTTATTGAACAGTCATTTTCTGATGTTCCTCTTCGCACTCTACTGCTTATTCTTCGATTCACTTTTTTGGGAAGCTCGTATTGGGTGGTTTTGGTTGTAAATTCTTAAACTTGAATGCTACTGTAAATATTTTGTGGGAGGGACGCGTTGTCCCCTGCCTGTTCCAGTGGCTTTTTTCCCCTGCTAGCTGGAGTTTCTTTAGGCACTCTAGCTGAATTTTTGTTCCTATTAAAGGATTTGAACCGTAAGGCTTTTGTAGCTGATTTCAGACTAATAAAATGGATTTTGTTTGAGAAAAAAAAATTCATTAGCCAGCAGTTTAAACCGTTCCATAAATCACTTGGAATGATTATTTAATAAACATGTGGCTCAGGTTTTCATTAACAAGCTGACACCCTCGTTGCCCATTGGAGGCTGCGGAAAGATGTACTTCAGACCATTCGCTTGAAGAAAGGTGTGAAAATTTTGGAAATTCAACATGCCAGTAGCTCGGCCAATGATATTGCCGATAATCTCACTAAATCAGGGGTAAGCACAAAAAATGATTTGATGATGCTCCATAGTATATGACGTTTTTTTAATTTTGATGTGCTGGCTTAATTCTTTAGGGTGATGGCTCTGTTTTAGTGAAGGTTATAATTGCTGACTCATGTCTTTTTGTCTAAAGGTTTGTGGTTGGTTGATGTTTTCATGCGTGCGGGTCTGCTGCTGGTTGTTGCTGTAGGCTTTGATTTCAGTTCTGCTAATTTTATTTTATGGTGTTGCTGAGTTTTTCTTCATTTGTAATATGGCGTTTGCAACTCAATTTCTGTTTTGTTTCTTGTTTTTTTTTTTTATTTCAATTTGGTTTTTTCTGTATGGCGGTGCCTACCTGCCTATTGGGTATGCTAAGGCTTGTACATTTGCCTTGATATGTTTGGAATTTTCCTATTCCACAAAGCTTAATAAAAGCATATTCATAATTTTCAAAAAAAAGCAAAAAAGAAAAAACAAGCTGACACCCTGGAGGAGGGTTCCTAACGAAAGTGTACCTCATCCATGGTTGAAAAGAATGTAATGCAAAATCAGCAGAACAAACCCTTCAAGTTAAAACTGCCATTGATAATTATGCCCCTAGCAGCAGCATCATGGTATAAGGTCATACGACCCAACTATCTAGAACATGATAACCGCAGAATTTGTCCTGTGGTTATACTTCCTATACCCCTTGCCCTTCCGTTGTTCTGAGGTGTGCGAACCACCTGCCGACCTATAATTAACCGCTTTTTATTCTTTTTCTGTACAACTCCATTTAGAAATGAACAGCATAATATCGTTTTCGATCTCGAACGAACTATTCATCACTGTCGAAGAAGAATTATAGTATTTGCTCAATTAAACACTGTTGATATCTAATTGAGCAGATTGCTGTGCTCACCCCTAAGTAATTTAATTAGCTAAAACTTTTTTTGTCACTTTTTTTTTTGTTTGGCCTTTGGCTAAAGATTCTTCTTTTTGGTGCAATGATGTTATTTCTACACGCGTGAAAAGCTGGACGGAATGTGCTTCTCAGTACATTATTGAATTGTACAGAAATAGACAAACGATGAAAACGTGTCAAGTTCAATATCTAACCAAAAAATTGAAAACACAAAATCCAATTTCAATTGCCAACAATGTAATCAGATCGTTAAGTCTTCAGAGTTCGGCGGACCCACGAAAAGCAGCCAAAAATCCAAAATCTGAATCCAAGTTAGCTTCAACGCAATCATTGCCGCTCCAATTTCCCGCCATTCCCTCCGATGACCAAAGTGCTTGACGGCAATCGTTTGTCCCGTCTTCATATATCACAGTGTTTATATCACGAAATTCAAAGTCACTAAGCTGTGAAAAGTCAGAAGGAAGAGCTTCATAAATGTTGATGTCCCCAATGTCAAAATCCATAGCGAACTTTGATTATAGAAGGATTTTCTTCCTTGGACGACAGCAATGTAAATGACCCATCACTACATCCAGATTCTACAGCAGTTTCGTGCACCAGCTTGGCGTCGGCGGATGGCGCAGTGCGGGCAATATTATTGTTTTCATGTCTTCCAATTACTTGCTGTTGCGGGGTGGTAAAGACTTTGGTGCAACGTCCAGCCTTAGGTTGGATAACACCTGAACTTGTTGGCGCCTTCTTGGACCAGCTGATGAATCTTTGTTTCTTTTCATCTTTATTGGTATGATCGAATTTTTTCACTTGCGCCCTCTTTGATAAAACGGAGTTCCAATAATTCTTGATTTCATTATCTGTTCGGCCCGGAAGTCTCCCGGCTATCAGAGACCATCTACAAAGCTCAAATCAGCAAACCCGTTATATGTATTTGTTAGAGATCATTTTATGCAAACATTGATACGAGCTAAATGGAAACAGAGAAAGAAAGACCTGTTCCCTAAGAGTTTGTGGAGTCTGATGATGAGATCTTCTTCATCACGTGTAATGTTGCCTCTCTTGATATCAGGTCTCAAATAGTTCAGCCAACGAAGTCTGCAACTCTTCCCACATCTCTTTAAACCTGCATGACATTAATGTTGCTTCTTCAGACATTTATCGCTATCTATATGATCCACTTATATTTTCTACCAAATGCCTCCCAACTGATCTCTACTTACCAGCTGCTTTAGGAATGCTTCTCCATTTTCCTTCACCGCGAGCCTTGATGTAATCAATGAGGATTTTGTCTTCAGTGGCTGTCCACGCTCCTCTATTAAGCCCCTCCACTTTTGAACAACAAGGTTGCCTACCCATTTGTTGCTGCTCGATCGTGTCTCTCTCAATGTTTTGTGCTGGAGTTTGTACGAATGAGAAGCTGCAAACGCCCAATCGATAGTTGAATGGGGTCACTGTTTACTGTTTTTATAGATGTCCTTGTTCAAGTTCAAAGTAACATTAACAAATAAATTTGTCTAAATTATGTTCAAAAGAATGATGTGGGTCATCACGACGAATGAAACATCGGACAAATTAATTTGGACGTCATCTTTTTACAAATAAAATACTAATTCCCAACGTGATTTATTTTCATGTGGAGTCAAGAGAATAAGAGGACCTAACACATTATTCAATTCATTTAAATTAACAAACCTCTTTACGGGACTGAATGGTACCCACTGTGTGGCTGAATAGTGGCTTCGGAGAACTGAGTTTCAGGGAGATCTCATGCAATTCGTATTAATTTAAGTACAACTGAGGTGCTGTTTGGGTAAAAGTAGGGAAGGATCGGAGCTGGTTAATGATAATAATGTATTCACCAACCGTTCCTAGCTATTTCCCTCAGCTCCCAAACTAACTTTCCCACTGTAACATCTGGAAACTTGAAAGTTTGTTGCCACACGTGGGGAAATGATTCCTAAGTGGAACCAAATATCACGTTGCTGTTTCATTTTTGTCTTTTTCTCTCTCTCTTAAAAAGCAGGAGATGTATTGAAAAGAGAACTTCACAAAAATCCATCCCACAAAAACAGGGTAGAAAAAGGAGCCAAGTTCCATCCCTATCACTCCAGAGGAACAATGTGTTCCAGTCTCATCTGATTACTTATGAGATCAAGATAACATTTCTGTCTCACATCTCATAACAACAGGATAGCTGCAGAATCTCAATCTATACAAAAGCCAACAAGGGGTAATGGAACCAGAAAAAATACAGAGAAACCTGAAGGAACTGCACCGCATGGAGGCCTGGGAACCAGTCTGCCATCCAAAAATCAAGAACATTCTGTGATTACCTCCAGCCACTCTACGCATCCACATCATTATTGATCTCCACTAAGTCTACTTCCCTATTCACACCCAAGTATCAGCATCATTGTTTCCTTCCCTGAATATGTATTTACTCTTCCAGTCATTTAAGAGCCTCAATTTGAAGCATTCACTTCTTAAATCTCCATGGATTTGACTCCATTTGTTGAATCACTTTTAATAACAAGACTAATACTTATTTGTCCATTTAGATTCAAAGAACAACACAAAAACTTCCGTAATTGCTAAAATTTCAGTCAAACTAGAGTTACCAGTTGTTGTTTCTTAATATTGCTTGGAATCCAGACTTATTAATAAAATATACATATTTTAATCATTGACTCAAATATTTGATTTTTCATTGTGTCTTTTAAAATACTCGAATCAATCATTTTTAATTTATTTTATCTGCTTTTATTCAAGAAAAATATCTTACTTTAAGTAGAATTGGTCATCTATGTAGCACTATTTCTTTTATGATTATTGTTCTTATTATTATTAGAAGATTTGATTTTATATATTTAAATTATATTAGGTAATTAAACATCTAATCAATCTCTAACCTTTGAACTTTTGTAATAAATTAGAGTAATATTTTTCTTAGCATTAGTCTCCTTCTGGCTAGATTCAAGAGGGTGGATACTTTAATTTTTAATTGCTTTACTTTTTGACTGATCCATACTGTACAGAAAGAAATTCGTTTATATTAGCAACTAATCCATACTTAAACCTATTAATGATCTAAACTAATGTATCAAGATTCAAGAACCAACATCTAAACTAATAGACCTTTAAACAGAATCTTTAATGGTGGCATTGATAATTAAAGTCTCATTTCCCAATTTAAACAGCAAATTGTGTTTTATTATTATTATTATTATTACTGAAGCTCAGATCTTACTTACGGTCTCTGCTTGCCTCATCATGTAACAGGACAAACCTCGTACGACGCGTCAGTTTAAAATTTTAAATTGAGATTATATTTCTTATTGTTTACAGAAATGCAAATGGAAAAACAAGCCTCCTCTGCCTCGTCCTATTGAGCCCAATATTAAGATTTTATTTTGATAAATTCTAAGCATTTAGGTATCTCGTTGAGTATGAGGTTAATCCTCTCTGTTATCATGTAAATCTAAACTTATTTTTAAGCTGAAATTGCAATAGAAACCACCAATCTGGGCATGGCTCCAAATTCCGGCGACGCATTCTAAGCTAAAAGTTCCGGCAGCCATTCTCTGTCCCTTATTTCATCATCATCTGGGGGCAATCAGTTGGATCACAGGTCCAACTCCCAAAGCAAGATTTTTGACTTTTTTCACATGATTATGGTGGTTAGTAGGAGTGTTGGTGGCGGAGGGGAGAACGCTGTTTGTGCTAGTTTTTCTAAGCTGTTCGTTCATTATTAGATTCTGTTGAGCTTTCTCCCTGATTAATTATATACCCGAACGCGTTTGCTATGGGTTTTTTTTTTTTAATTAACAAAATTATGTGTGTTGTTATGCAATTGATAATGACATGCATCAGGATATTTATATAGTTTTATGTCTCTACATAGACTTCATGGAAATTTTACATAAAATCGAGTTATTGGTTTCTGAGATAAGTTACTGGCCTGTAATTTCTGTGAACAAGTTTTCCTTCTCGTTTTCTTTTTAAGGGGTTTGGGTAGGAAGTGAGGATATAAAGAGCATTTAAAAGATGGTTGAAAAAAGAAAGAAAGAGCTTCCATATCCCTCTTCATATGATTTCCATGTAGATTCTGGAGTTTGTTCGTTATGGTGACAAGAATGCGGCAGAATTGATGGACATTGGGCACGACTTTTAGGAAGGTATGAAGCCATTTATCATGTTTTCTTTGTTTATTATAAGAAGCTTTGTTCAATAGTGTGCTTTAAAGAAATAGTAATGATAAATAAAGTTTAAACAGGAGGCAAGACCTTCCGGCTGTTCCACATTTATTGGATTCTGTTTAGATATTATGCTTCACTACTTATAGCTGACATCAAAATTTCCTTTTCAATTCATAAAATTGGTGTATATCCTTATTCCTAAAAGAATTTGCAGCTTGCCTAGTGATTATCTCTGCAGTTTGTATATAAGAAAGCGCAGCTGATGGAGTTTGAATTCATCTGTTTGTTATTATGACGTTTTCTTATCAGAAATGTGGTAGCTCTTGTTTGGTGTTTCTATCCATTACTTCTGAATAATATTTCTAGTTGCTTGTTAACCTCAGCAGTTCTAAGGCTCTACATTGTTTCATATGTTATACCTTGTTTGTTCTTTTCAACCCTACAATAAATGGTCTGAAAAGCTTGAAATAGAGTGCATGGAGCATCATTGCTCAACTTTCTCAGCTTATTTCCTAGAACTCTTTTTCAGTCAAAATCAGCAGCTCCATGAACTTAGTAATTTTAATGTAGGTTGACGGGACATTTCCTGATGGGGCAACATTAATCACTATTCACGATGCAATTGCTAGTGAAAATGGAAATCTGGAGCTTGCTTTACATGGTTCTTTTCTACCTGGTAAAGGTTTACCTTGGATCATATTTTTGGAAATACTTCCTCTAGGAATATGGGTACCATGATTTCTGTTATTATGAAAATATCTTCCTTAGCAGAGTGATTTATCACAAAGATTTTTAGCATTTTTGACCTCAGATTAAAGAACAGGGCTCAAGCTCGATGTACATTCTTCTTAATAGACAATTAACTTTTTCTCTTTTCTTTTTGCCTCCCATCTGCCGGACTTTTTGAAATCTGCCAGTATATATATAGTAATCAAGTCTTATGTAATACTATACGTTTATATGTGAAGATTTTAGTAGATTATGCAGCTTACTTGCACCTCTTACTCGCTTGATATGCTTGTACCATATCAAAAGTCCAATGGGAACTAACTGAAAATTGATATGCAGTGCCTTCCCTGAGAAATTTCTTGAATGGAAGATCAAACAATTCCTGGTGACATGATTTTCAAAGGTGGGACTATTGCACTTGGTCATGGAAGGAAAGCAGTTGGTCATGGAAGGAAAGCAGTAAGTCTCAAAGTGACTAACACTGGAGACAGGCCAACTCAGGTTGTCCAAACTTATCTCCTCTGATTCATATAATTTATTTTTCTTGATGATTTGGAGTAGTGGCAAACTTTTCAGTTCTTTTGTTTTATGAACTATTCTATCAATGTGTATCAAACAATGTCCTAAAATTCTTCATAGCTAGCATATAAACAAAATGGTCAAGCTAACCAGCATTTCCTTGCTACTTTTCTGAGGAAGAATTGAAAGATCTTTTTGGTTCTTGTGTTAATCATTCAGCAGTTTTTCTGGTCAGAAGCCATTATCACTTTATTGAGGTGAACCCCTCCTTGGTTTTTGATCGTAGGAAAGGATATGGAATGCGCTTAAATATACCAGCAGGAACAGCTAAAAGATTTGAGGTTGAGCGTTTTAACCTTCATCTGGTGATAAGCTTGTTGTTTGATTCATCCATTAATTGCAATTAATGGTTTATTAATTGATCATCCTGTGTAGATTAATCTCTTTCTAGAAAAAATTTACAGTGATACATGTTATTTTTCAAAAACAGTGGTTCTTATTATGATTTAGTTAGGAATTGCCATTTTGCACCAGAATTGGTAAGAGATAGTAGATGCTGGTAGAGAAATCAATGACGTAGAGAAGGTTCTGACGTGTTTTAATAAGTTGGCAGTATGAAACTGAGCTGGTAGACACTGTGGCTTCGGAGGAAGCCTCAAAATTTATAATGATAAAAGTTCTTTAACTAAAGATTTCTTCACTTGAAAGTCGAATGGTAAGAATTTGGAAGGTGGCATTATATAAATATAAGAGTGTTGTTCTAAGTGTTATTATCACATCAGCAGATATAGCATTAGGATAAGAATTCATGCATAAATGTTTATCAAATAAACTAAAATAAATATTTATTTGGCATATTCATGGGCTAAATCAGGATCAGCTCTTGATTTAAACCAATCTATTCTTTGACTGCAACATGTTTCCCTTTGCCAGCCTGGAGAATTTAAAACTGTTGTGCTTGTCAGCATTGGCCATACGAAAGTGATCAGAGGAGGAAATGGTATTGTTGATGGTCCTGTTGATGATGCCAATGCCGAAATAGTGATGGAAACCATAAAGAGAGAAGGTTATTGGAGTCTGGAAGATGCAAATGCTAGGTTTACAACTTTGGCTAGAATTAATGCTCTCTGATTTAGTTCCGCTTCATGTCATCAAAAGGATTTCTTGATTAGTAAACCTTGACTGCTTAAATAATTGAATAGGAAAGTATTGATGCCTTGACCTGGCTTATTTTGCTGTGAAGGTGTCACTGGAGAAGGTTCTGCTTTCAGCACAATAATTTCTTGTGAGGCATATGCTAAAATGTATGGCCCTACTACTGGTGACAAAATTCGGCTAGGTGATACAAACTTGTATGCTGAAATAGAAAGAGATTTTGCTGTATATGGTGATGAATGTGTCTTCCGGGGTGGAAAAGTTATAAGAGATGGCATGGGTTAATCATGTGGGCATCCACCAACTGAATCTTCAGATATTGTTATAACAAATGCTGTAATCATTGATTACTCTTTTTAAGGCAGATATTGGTATTAAAAATGGCCTTATTGTTGCCCTTGGGAAAGCAGGCAATCCAGACACCAGAGATGGTGGTTTCCTTAATATGATCATCGGGGTAAGTTCTTTTGTATTAAAGCAGTGCCCAAGGTAGCTGTACTATTAATGGCTGATATTTAGACCTTCTCAACTCTCAGGTTAACACTGAGGTTATTGCTGGGAAAGGATTGATTGTAACTGCTGGGGCTATAGACTGTCATGTGCACTTCATATGCCCTCAGCTGGTTCATGAAGCAATATCAAGTTGTACGCTACACTGTCAGGCATACTTTAGGTAAAAGATGCTAGTGAAACATGCACACACACAAACCACACATATACTTTATACGCTTGTGTGTGTTCAAGGGAGAGAGAGAAGTAAAGGCACACAATGATTAGCTTAAACCATCTCACCTTGGTGTATTGGAGATTCTATATACCATGTTGCTTTCTGCACTAGACCTCTGGAATATATATGTTTTTTTTTTAAAAAAAAGAATTCCCTCATTGTTCCCTGTCATTAGCTAGTTCAATGGAGAAGTCTTGTGCTTCCATATGCCAATGGAACTCTGTTGGCATCATTGAAGGTTAGCACCACATCTAGATCCCCAGTTTAAGGACCTTGCTCTGGTTGGATGGTCTTACATTCCCTTACCATCCTTTTCTCAATGTTTGAGAGTATTGGAAAGAAAAGACTAGACCACCATTAATTTTCCAGGAGTAACTATAGTATTAAAAGAAAATTATACACTTATATCTCAGCGGTGCAAGAATTGATTAAAGTTACTGAGAGCACACATATCTCACAGTTTGAGCCACGGAGTATGGGTAATACACACTTTTACATATTTGAATATAGAAGTGACAGCAGATTGTATTTCTTGAAATGAGACATTGAGAAACCCTTCAGATCTATTTGATTGATTTGGTTTGTTTCAAAGCATTCTGAAGGAACCATGTGAAATGTGAATGTCATAATTCATCCATCCCAATAAATAAATAAATGTGAATGCCATAGACTTTACATTACCTTTGCTCAAACAGATCTTGCTAGATGGAGTAGCATGTTGATTAAATTGGAAGTTGATTCTTATATCGTTAATTGTAGCTAATACTTAAAAACATCCTTTCTTTACAAGCATTGGTAGCCATACCAGATTTCATTCCAGTTTGTTAGTTTTATTTTCTGTCAGCCACTCTTTGTACCATTCAAATTCTTCTGGTTTTTTGCCACCAATTCCACCAATCTTGGCAGCATATTGGAGTTTTCCGTTTAATATACTAAGGCAAAGACACAGTCCAAAATTTTCCTCTAATGGTTTAAAATGTGCTGTATAACCATAATTTTTCGAGGAGTATGTAGAGATTATATAAGACACACACGTATGAATTTGGAAATGCAGGTATGTAAAAAGTTTATGAACATAACATCAAGAAAACTTGTATAATAGAATCATACATCTTTAGTAATTATATCCCGAAACTTCCAAATTTATGTAGGCTACACAACATTAGTAGGAGGTGGAACTGGACCAGCTGAAGGTACATGTGCAGCTACTTGTACAGCAGCACCATTGCAGATGAAATTGATGCTGCAGTTCACTGATGACTTGCCTCTGATTTTGGCTTCACGGGAAAGGTATGCTTAAATTCTTTGCTTAATGTTTTTCTCATCTGTGTGTTTATCTATGCTTTAGCTGAAGGATGGACCTATCTTCTTCCTTGTCTAGCTTACACTGGATGGTTGGAATTTCTAATTTTTGAAAGTACCTCACTTTCCCTCAATTTTGTTTTTCCACTTAGGGGAATGGTTCCAAACCTAATGAACTACATGAAATAATCAAGGCTGAAGCTATGGGATTGAAGTTGCATGAGGACTGGGGGACTACTCCTGCTGCAATAGACAATTGCTTGACTGTTGCATAACAATTGGATGTCCAGGTCAGAGAAAAAGAATGAGAAATGCTTCTGAGCTTTACAAATTCTTTTATAATTTTACATTTTTAACCATACCAGCCTCCTGTATGGTTTAGGAAAAGAGACAAAGCATGATCCTCAGTTAGATAATTTAAATTTGTACATCTCAGTCAGATAATGTGCAAAATTGGCTTGCTTGTGATGTAACCAAGCATGATCTCAAGACGTTCAGTCCCACCTGATTATGAGCACAGCATTATTATTCCCTGTGATATTGCATTTGATAATTCTTCAATATTATGCCATTTTAAAAATATTTTAACTATTCATAATAATGTTTTTTTCTAATTAGAGGAAAAAGAATTTGAATTTTATTTTTTAGATAAAGAAATCATACATCAATTAATTAGTCAAATATTCAGGTGTAACTATTCACAACAATATTAAACACCTATAAATCTCACAATTATAACTTTGCACAATAATTTCTCATAACATATTTCAAATGCATTTTTCTTAACTTGAGGTTTTTTTTTTTCCTTCGTAACAACACTGTAAAATTAGACATTAATTGCTGTATGTATATGCCAATTTGACTAGTTGTAAAATAAGGGCTCTTGTGACAATGCATTTGCAATGTTAAAAAATTTTTTTGGTCTAAGTGCATGCCCATTTAATTTTAAAAGTAATGTCTACCATTTATTTTAAATTAACAATAATACCTTGCAATTGTGAAAAGCACTTTTTGAGTATTAAATGATCAAAATGCCAATTTACATTTTCTAAATTATACAATTATCCCTTTAACTATTTAAATATTTTGAATAAAAAAAGTTAGTGCATTTTAAAAAAAATTAATTTCTAGTTTAAAGGAATGCATTTTTCTAAAAATTGTTTATTATATTTCTTAAATTAAATTTCATGATAATTTATTTTTTATATATTGTAACAATTAAAAATATATATTTTTTATTTTTCTAACATTTTAACTTCCACAACAATTTTTTCATAAAAATAGCAAATATTCAAAAATTTCAATTACAACACGTCTGAAATGCACCTTTCTTTTTTCCCAAGCCTTTGCATACGTGCATTTCGCATTAGTAAACCGCATAGATTTGAGCTTCTAGACTTTACGAGCCCACAACGATGACGTTTTGAGGTAAAAGGCAATCTCGCTTATATCTTTCGTGTCGTATTCTTCTTCCAAAGCAAGCGATCCACCTGACAAGGGCTTTCAACTCATCAGAATCCAAGCTCTTTCACTCCAAGCATTTGTTCTCTCCAACGCTTACTTTCTCCCTTATAAGAATACCACGAATTCCATCTTTTCTCACCGTCTCAGCTAAAACTCAATTAACTCTTCTATACCCATCCAAACGCCACCGTCTCGGTGTCAAGATGCTGCTCAGAATCCGCAGCCGAGACGGCCTCGAACGGATCCAAGTCGACGGCCCTCACATATCGATCTCCCAATTAAAAACCCTAATCGAATCCCAACTCCAAATCCCCATCCAGAACCAAACTCTTTCCGCCGATCAAAATCTTCTTTTAGCTAAAACCCCCGTCGACCTCCTCCGTTTCACCGACATGGCCGACCCTTCCACCCCACTCTCTGCCCTAAACCTGTCTCATGGCTCCATTATATTTCTCTACTACCACGGTGAACGCACCGTCCGTGGCGGCCCCGCCGTGTCTCCCGCTGGCTCATTCGGCCGTAAAATGACCATGGACGACCTCATCGCTAAACAAACCAGGATCACCCGCCAGGAATCCCCTCACTGCGACTCTGTTTCCTTCGACCGCGATTCCGCTAACGCTTTCCAACGATACGTCAACGAAACGCTGGCGTTCGCTTCCAAACGCGGCGGCTTCATGTACGGCACCGTCACGGAAGAAGGTGGAGTGGAAGTTGATTTTATTTACGAGCCACCTCAGCAGGGAATGGAAGACGATTTGATCCTTTCAAGGGATCCTGAAGAAGAGAAATTGGTTGATGCCATCGCTGCAGGGTTAGGGAGGAAGAGAGTAGGGTTTATCTTTACGCAGACGATAATGCAAGACAAAAAGGACTATAATTTTTCAAACAAGGAGGTCCTACAGGCTGCGGAGCTTCATGCGGAGAGTGGGCTGAAGGAGTGGGTAACGGTTGTGGTGAAGCTGGAAGCCAATGAAGATGGGGGTGCGGATGTGCATTTTGAGGCTTTTCAAATGAGCGATATGTGTGTTAAGTTATTCAAGGAAGGGTGGTTTGTTACGGAGTTTGGGGAGAATGATGATCCCAAACTTTCGAAGATGAAGAAAGATGTTGTTGTTGGTGGCAAGGATGTTAAGGAGGTTGATAATGATTTCTTCTTGGTGGTTGTTAAGATTTTCGACCATCAGGTGTGTACTTTTTTATCCATTATCTGATTAAATCAGTTCATGTTGTGGAATCGTTTTGTGTCCATTATTCGGTTGTTGTTTCTAATTAACGTATTAACCTCAATTGTGAGGTTTGCATAATTCATGGTCTTAGATTAGACCATTGCTCACTATAATTTTACAATGTTGAATTGCTTGCTTAGATGTATCTTTTCAATGATGCTTTCAATTGGTTTTTACTGAGGGGTGCTGATGATACAGCTAGTGCAAAGAATGCTGGATATTAATGGTTTAACACGAGCAAAAAGGAATGTGGGTAGGGGTAGAGGGGCATTCAAAATGTTATCAACTAGTAGCATTCCTGGCGTACATAGTTTGTGTGAACAAGAAAGCAACGTATAAAGCTAATGAAAAGCCACACTTAAGTAAACAAACTGTTAGCAAGAAAGGTGGTTATTAAGTATCCTAGAATGCAAGGGAGGAGTTCCAAAGGTGCACTCGACTTCCTGATTGAAGGGAGAAGTTTCAGTGTGCAATGGAGTTGTTTATTGTATCTTTCTTTCATTTTATGAATTTCTTACCATATTCCATAGGTAGATTGAGATTTGTATGTAATGATTATAGCTTAAGGGGGTGATTTTGTGAAACCTAGAAAGAATCAAGGAGATGATGCTAAACAGGGTCTATCCTTCAAATTGTTGAGTCTGTCCTTCAAATTGTAGATTGTTTACTGACCTGTAGCAAAGGAAAATGCTTGGAGCTCCTACTTCTTGTAAACCTTGATATTTAGGTTGGAATATGTTCTGTCAAGTGTTCAAGTTTTGTTGAAAGTTCAGGTGTTGTTAGGGTTTTTACATGATGGAAGCAATAAACAAACCATGCATATGATTAATCAATTGTTTTAAACAACATTTGCACTATTCAAGCCAGATCAAGGTTAGATATTCAGGCTGTCAGTCTAAGGTCAGTGGAAATTTGGAAGTAGCATTTGGCTTTGAGAATGAGTAGCAAGAGTATCCCATATTTATGTAGTATAACCAGTCCATCTTCTAGTTTCTTTTGTGATAATGCTATTGATAAGCCTCTATAATTCTAGGGTCAATATCCAATTAATTCAACTCCTAGAAGCAATGCATTTGTTGGATGAATTCTCAACATGGTGATGCCAATTGATTACTTGGTTCATGATAACCAGTCCATCTTGTAGTTTCTTTTGTGATATCTGCTATAGATAGCCTCTATAATTCTAGAGTCGATATCCAATTGATTCAACTCCTGGAAGCAATGCATTTGTTGGATGAAATCTCAACATGGTCTGATACCCTTTGATTACTCAGTTCATGATAACTTTACGAATTGTATGGCCTTCTTGGTGGCATTGCATGGAGTTGATACTGGATTCAATGCATGATAAACAACCATGAATTCAAGGTTGCATGCATTTTAAATGCACAATCTTCACACCACATGCTGTCAAGAAGCCTTGCCTGACAGTTACAGCCCTGGCTTATAACCTCTCTGAGATACTCCAGTCCAGCATCCCAAGAAAAGATCACAAAGCTTGTCTCTTTGTAGCCAACAAACATCAACCATTATCTTTCTTGTCTTGCTGCCCTATAAGTATAAATTTTTGAAGTGTACATCATTGTGTTCTTCATTATTAGTGGATTTTTGGTTATGGACATATAATTTTGATTGTCTGCAGAGTCATCTTCCTCTCTTCTACTTTAGAACTTAGTTTGGAACTCATGTGAACTCTTACTTTAATGCAGGGACCTCTTTCCACGACCTTCCCCATTGAGAATCGGAACACCCATGTGACAGTGAGAGCACTGAAGAGTCATCTAGATAGAACAAGGAGTCTTCCATTTGTGAAGAGAATTTCTGATTTTCACTTGCTGCTGTTTCTGGCCAAGTCTCATGGCCTTGGTTCTGACGTTCCTGCTCTGGCAGAGTGTGTTGACTCACAGACAACAGTGCCAGAAGGTTATCAGCTCCTAATTGAGTCCATGGCCAGCGCATCCTGATGTTCCTTAGATACTTCTTTACTTATGGGATGTACTGTATATTTATGATTTATATCAAATTACTTTGTGCCATTGCTCGCTAGACTCACTAGCAAACGCAGTTGATTTCCAATTCCTCCCGTGGTAGAGAGGGGGCCTCTTCCTTGACAGTGTTTCCTAGCAGTCTTCAACTTAGTGCTTTGGATTCAAGCTAAGCAGTGATCCATAGGTCATATTTTTACTTTTATGCGGGAGTGGGTTGAGTCAATTTGATGATTCGTTCATCTTAAATTTAAAATGTTACTTGATACATAAAATTTTATGATGTGAATTTACGGTTAAAGATTCTTGTGCTTGTCACTGTTCCCATGGCCGTTGTGGAGCTTGGTTTTCTACGGAAGGCGAAGGCCCCTATGTCCCGTGACAGGTTTGGGTTGATTGGTTTTATTTTTTAAATTGCCAAAAGAAAAACCAGAGTCTTATGGTCCAACAAGAAAACTTTGACATCCTTTCCAAAAATTTACAAGTAATTATTTTTCCTACTCTTTCAATTTAGTAATTACAACTAAATGGAAAAAATTTTGATTGCTAATATATAAACATAAGGTTTCGAATATTTTTAAAAATATTTTTTATTTATATATTATTTTATTAAATTAAAAATAATAATAATACATTAAATCTTGTTTATTAATATAATCTTAACAAGTGTTTATATCACTCTTCTCGTAAAACTATTACTGACACAAATTTCTTTCAATATTGATTATTTATTTTACTTATTAGTTATTAGTTGAGTTAGTTATATTTATTAAGTTAGCATAGTTGTATTTTAGAGTTTTAAATTATTTTATTAAGATAATCTGAAAGAATTAACATTCTAGGCGTAAAT